TGTATAGCTATGAACATATATGGACATTATTATTCACAAGTCTTACATCATGATGTACGCACATCAAACTAAAGCTTAAGAGAGCTTAAGCCAACATCTTCATAAACATATAGCTACATACTTTAATTGTTTAACTACTTTATGATTAAAATGTCTCAAATTGGATAAGCTCTATAGACCTATGAATGACAGTGAGTCTCAATCGAGACGAACTCGTCGAACTCGAATGCTATAAAAGCCAGATTACCGAAATTTGGTATGTGAATGGACGGCTGAATGGCCGACCGACTGCCTTTAGCCCACGCAGCAGAAGATATTTTCACTTTTTTCAATCTGAGCACAGTCAATCGATAAAAAATAAAAAATAAAAAAAATAGAAAAACTAACGAATTGCAACCACAACGATGATTAGTGGAGGCAGCAATTGTTGTATGCATTCCCAAGCCCCGAGCACTTCAAGTTGGCATTCTTCTCAGTCCAATTGGGCAGCAGTAAAACGCGGAGAATGTTGATGAATTTGTTTTGGATGGTGCAGCAGCAGCGGCTGCTGATGCTGCTGATGCTGCTGGCGGTGCAGTGGTGCTGCTATGGTTGTGCATTGAGCGATGTCCAGCCGCGACATTTGGCTTTGCGTTTGCCGCCTGCCAGCTGAGAAGAAAAAAGGCATCAATCAATTGCAAATAGAAAACAAAAATCTTCCAATCAGACGAATTGATCTTTGAATTGGTCTTGCTGCCGCTGTCGCTGCCTTCACCTGGGTGCGTACAGCAGGCCCGAGTTGCTGCTGCGCCGGCTGTGGCTGTGGCTGTGGCTGGGGCTGTGGCATGTTCCGCTTGCGGGTGGCCCCACCTGCCACAGCCAGAGGCTGTGACGCCGACAGCGATGCCAGCAGCGACAGCGACTGCGACTGCGACAGCGACTGAGGATTTGGGTTTGGTGTTAGGAACGTGGCCCGGCCCGGCTAGAGAAGAAAGTGTTAAGTCCAATTCCAAATATTCGCTGGTGAAATTTAAATCATTTTCAAATTTAATTACCGACAAATAAACGTTTGACATTCCAGACGAGCCGCCTGCCACCTGCTTGTCACCTGGGGGGCTTGTTGTTGTTGTTGTTGCTGCTGCTGCTGCTGTGAGCTGCTGGGCGTGCCATTTGAGGCATTCCAGTGTAGAGCATCTCAACATCATTATCATCATCATCTGGCACCTCATAATGAGCATTGGCTCATTCTACGAATACGCACAGCTTTTTCTCTTTTGTGTTTTTGTTGTTGTTGCTGCTGCTGCTGCTGCTATTGTTGCTGTTGTCGTTGCTGCTGCTGCTGTAGTAATTGCTGTTGTCATTGCAGTCTTGTCCAAAAAAAAAAAAAATTAAAAAAGCAAAAAAACGTAATTTCAATGGCCAGCGCTTTTGCTTCATTAAGAAATCGGACCACAGTGCACAGTGGTGCACAGCAAGCAAACAATTAAATTTTATTAAACCTTCAATACAATTAAGATTATAAAATGCGATTTGAGATGATTACGAAATAAGTGAAATAAAACGATGAATGGAAAGTTAAAGGAAAGAAAAACTATTACATTTATATTTACATGAATCAGATTTCGTATATACAAATATAGCATAACATATTTACTAGACCTTATACTAGACTTTGCATCACATCTCATAAATTCAGTTAAATTTTCCGCTTTCACCCTAGAAATTGTTATTTAATTTGATATATTATCAATTCGTATATTCAAACATTTTCAACTGCCTGCCAAAGTTCAAATTAAGTTGACAAGCAGTTAAATTATCATTTCGTTTGCCGAATGACAACTTAAATTCGTGCTTGACCAGCTGGCAGCACTTAAATTTAAACCGCTTGCCAAATATATTTAACTGCATGGCAAATTTTAACAGCTAGCTTGAGCTAATCAATTTCAAACAAATTTAACGCCAGCAGCTAACACTAGACTGTGAAAAAAAAAAGAAGTTATAAGTCATCAACTCATTCCGTTTTTCGCACAGTGTCATTTCACATTATGATCTGTAGATTGTAAATTGTGAACTGTAGAATGTAGACTGCCTGGCAGACAATCAGACAATCGAACAATCATCTAGCCGCCCAATTCCTAACCCATCCCCATCCCCCCCCCCCCCTTGGGCCGGTCGGCACACTTCTTGTCATTGCAACAATGTTGCACGCACTGTGAATCGAGCGGATGAGCTATCCGCGCCCTTGGCATATGCGCCAATTGCCAGTGATCATACCCTGTACTTGTACCTGTACCAAATTACGATTGCTTGACTTTGGCAACAAGTTGCAAAGCGGCATATCCGACTATAAATAGTGTATAATAATGGCGTAGGATATTAATTATGGTGATACAAAATATTAACAATTCCAAAAATATCAAATATTAATAATAATAATAA